AAGAAACAGACCCTTGATCGTAGACACTCTTTTCTACACATTAGTTTCTCTTTAACATTGTGGAGCTTTCAGGTAATAAAATAGCAGAAATCACCCAACACAAGCATATGAGATCCATGGCAGACAGCAGATAGTACACTCTTTTCACAGTGTTTGTTCAGCTATCTTGGCTCAATATGGTGCCTAATGAAAACAGGAAGCGGTACTGTACAGATAGTCTGTGATTGTGTCTTTTCTAATGCTATTCATTTCTCCTTGCTTCAATGTCATGTTGATTACAAAATACATTTCAAAGAGCCCGAACTCTTCTTATCAAATTTGCTGGATAAATTTCAGATGTCATTTCCCTATGCAAAGGTAGACAGAAGCTTGGATTCAAGCATCCCACGGTGCAAGGCTGTTAGCGTATGGGTGTTATTTTCTTCCTTTTTCTCCCCACTTTTACCCTACTGTCTGAATCTCATAAACACTTGCTCAAAAAAGGCTTATGAAGAGGAGGGCTGATAGATGAGAAAGAAAAATGAGTTCTCACTCAGCAGGAGGAAACAATTTTCACTCTTACAGTGGGATATTTAAATTTAAGCCCAGTTCTTTAAACCATTTTGCCTATTCCATGGAAGGTTCCATCATAAATTTTCTGTGGATAATTAAAGCTGGCTAGAAAAGTTTGGGAGGGTTGGTTAAGGGCCTGTCTTATGGAGCTCCTCTAGCCTCTGAGCTTTGATGGTGAAGGTAGTGTGGCATCTTCTAATAATCCCATTCTGGAGGGCCCTAATTTGAAGGACCAAATCCAATTACCCACCTTGGACCAGGAAACTGAGGATGTGGTATGTACTTAGAAACACAAGTTTTGGGGGAACCTGCTTGGAATGGTTAAAGGGGTTACAAGTAACATTTTAAAGGAACATACAGTATAGCTACTGATAACTTTGAAAAACTAGTGCTATCGCTGGAAGACAGTTCCTAGAGCCAACCTACGGTTCAGAATCAGAAGGTGTTCTGTCTCTGAAATGAGGGAATAACATCCCACCTTGGACTATGAATTGTCAATGCTGTACCCAGAGGTGTAACTCTGATTCTTCGAGTGATCATCTGTGAATTCACACTAATGGGTTTAGTCTGCGCTTGCACAGAGGTCTCCGAAATTTTCTAAAGCTTCTATGCTACGCAGACTAAACCCATTAGTGTGCATTCACAGAGACCACGAAGAAGCAACAAAAACTTCCTTTGCAGTTGAGCCTTCTAGAAAATAAAGGTAGAAAGATTTCTATTCACAGGTAATTCCAAGTAAATAAGCTGAACTGAATGCAATCAGAGGATACTTCCCATAAGGTAGTTCATCCTCTCTCTGTGCCCACAGATACAGTGGTAAGTGTTCCGATCACAGCAGAAGGTAGTAAGTGAATGGCCCTAGAAATCTTCTGCAATCGTTGAAAGTAATTTAACTAAACTGAGGAACAGCCTCCTTCCTGGAACTAGGAGAACAGGGGGAAATGGGGGATTGCAACAGCTATTTATGTTTCAAGTATCAGTAGTCCATGAGAAAGTTGAGATGTACAACACTGGGACTCAGTGTTATCTTCAAGTGAGTATCATCTAGAAAACTTTTTTCTTCAGTTTTTGTTTGCACTCTTCATATGATCTGGAGGTAGGTTTCCTCAGTACTTTAAACAATGATAGTCCAGGTTCAAGCAACATTATCCAGGATGTAGGAAAAAAACTATATTTGAATGCTAATATATACCTATTCACATTCATTCATATATTATCTCCTACCATTTAGCTTCAGAGAATGATCTCTTTCGGTTCAAGCATTGTGTGTGAGAGAAATGTTTCTTCTCTCTGCTTTCTACAGACCATGCATAACTTCATACAACCTCACGATGTCTCCCTTTACTCACCTTTTATTCTAGGCTACACAGCCTTATATATTGCAATATTTATTTATTTATTTATTCAATTTTTACCCCGCCCCTCTAGACAACGTCTACTCGGGGCGGCTATTTCTTCATGGGAAGCTATTCCTATCCTTTGATTATTTTGCTTGTTCTTTTCTAAGTCTACAGTACCCTTTATTAGTTGTTGGGACCAAAACTGTACTTAGTATTCCAGATCCACTATGGATTTTTTGTGTGAGACAACCCAGGGGGTTGCCATGTCCTCACAGAGGGTACACAAAGGCTTGAAGAAATATTATCTTTTGCAGGAAAGAAGAAAGAAAGAAAGAAAGAAAGAAAGAAAGAAAGAAAGAAAGAAAGAAAGAAAGAAAGAAAGAAAGATGTAGCACAAAATCTTAATTCCCCTTGCTTGTTTGAGCTTTTCTAACCTACTGCCGCCATTAAAAACAACAAAAAAGTAAAAATCGGTTATGAAAATAACTGTTTGATAGCAAATAATTGGTATTTCTGCGCAGAGTGAGAACATGCAAGTAAATGACAATGAGTGGCTGAGAAAGAGCATGTGACATTTCTTGCTACTGTGCATATTGTCAGAACCCTCAGGAAAAGAAAGTTAGTGTCAGTCAGTATCAGTGTGAGTGTTCAGGCTTTGTGATGCATTTCTTGCTACTGTGCATATTGTCAGAAGCCTCAGGAAAAGAAAGTTAGTGACAGTCAGTATCAGTGTGAGTGTTCAGACAGGCTTTGTGATCATGTTTCTTCTTTGATTTCTGCTATGTATGACTGTGACACTTGTTTTAACAATAGTGAATGCAGTATGACAGACTTATCATTTCCTTTGCCCATTAAACCGACAGATGTAAAAATGTACCCAGAACACACAACATTCATAATAACCTGCCTGCCACTCTTAAACCACCACCACTCACACAAAAAAGCAGACTCCAGCACTGGAGTAAATCAGATAACCATTGGTTAGATCTGCTTTGATTTGGATTCCTGTATTGAACAGGGAGTTTGACTCATTTTTTCCTCACAGGGTAGCACCCTTCCCAGAGTAACAACAATACCAATTGTTTCTTTCCCACAGAGGAGGCGTTTGTCCTCTTACGTTATGGGTACAGGTTTTCAAACATGCTGCCTCCAACCTCATTAAGTAAAGAACTATAGCAACCCAAGGGACAGAGCAAACATGTGTGCACAGTTGGCTTTGTGAGGAAAGGATTAGCAAGCAGGTGTGAACTATTAGCATAGTCAGTCAGTGCCAACAGCATGGATGGCAACTTTACCAAGTCCTGAGATGGGAGGTATGCATGTGTTACATACAGTGTTAAAGGCTCCTGCTCTGTGGCAACCATCTTATTATGTGATGAGGGATATTCAGACCATAGAACCAGATGTGGAGAAATTAGCTATGGAGAAAAAGCTAGAAGTGAGCTGGGGTGTGTGTGCATTCCTAGGAATCTTCCTTCTCTCCCTTGCAAACTCATTTTAGCCCCACATTCTTACTGGAAAACAGACACTGCCCCACCCACACAACCTCACAATGGGGTTTTCCGTCCTCCAAGCCTATAGGGAGGTTAGAAGGCAAAAAGGATGGAGGAGATTAACTCCGGCTTTGGGCCACGGAGCTCATCACCCCCTTCCCCCCCCCTACTCCTTTTGGAAGTGCGGTGTGGGAAGGATGTGGGTGGCACTGGAGCGCAGTTTGGCACCATGAGCACGTCGAGAGACCGTAACTTCCCTCCAGCGTCTCCCGCCTCTCGAAACGGCGCGGGAAGGGGAGAGAGAGGCCCGCTCACAGAGCGGCTGTGTTTCAAAGAGCCCGCCTCCCGCGCAGTTGAGGAGGTGGTTGTGTAACTTTTCCGCGGCACCTCATGATGTAGCTGCTGCTGCTGCTGCTCTTCCTCCTGTCTCGCCGTTCAGGTCAAGCAACCCCAACTAAACGACTAGAAATGAACTTGCCTCGGGCCAGAGATAATAATCCTACCCAATTCTTGCCCAAGGACTTGTACAAGCTAAAGGGGATCAAAATGGTCTCTCCCGGGAACAAGCAGAGGAATGAAATATCGTAAAAATGGACTCTCCCTCCTTACTTTTCTGGGCAAAGTAATCAATCGTCTCTCTCTCTCACACACACACACACACACACACCTCCACAGAGGGCGAGGAGGGACGGGAGGGTTGGATTCGAGCTTTGTTTGCTTGCTTGTTTCGGACTGATGAACGATGCCCCAAACAGATAACCTACCGTTATCAAGTGGAACTGAGAAAACCTTTCGAGGAAATAAAACAAACTACAGTACACACTTCAGAAGCCTTTCTTCAGGCTTTTAGCAATGCCGCCTTCCATGCCTCTATTTCGGAGTAACTCTCCCTGTATTCTTTGGGGCTCTGTCGCAAAGAACGGGATCCGGCAGCAACTTTAAACCTACTTAAATATTAGCTCGCTGTTTGTTTGTTTTTTTCTTCCCCTTGGCTGGCTGTTTTCGTTGAGGTCCCTGTTTAGTCTGTGGTTTTAGGGCTTCAGACGATACATGCAATACTGCCTTCTTACAAAATTATTCCGGCTTGGCCTTATATAAGCACCTTGAACAGAGTTACGTATAACACCAACAGTGCCCGCAGCACCAGCCACCCCACCATTCACGCCACCCCGTGAGTCGTGCCACGTAGAATGCCAAGGGCTTACGGAAAATGTGAAGAAATAGCAAGCGTAAGGGAGAAAACATTAGTTACAAGGCAGTAGCACAAAAAAGACGAAGAATGTTATTTTAACAATAATAGGGAGGTATTGGGAACCCCTCGTTCTGATATTCTTATTACCTCTAATTCCTCATGATCCGAGGATATGAAACCGATGGGGGGGAGGGGGAGGATGGCGGCGGGGGTGGTGGTTTTCTGTTAATTCTTCCTCTACCAGAAACCCTAAGGTGCTAATGCTGTGGGCACATGGCTTATTGGCCTTTCTCTTCTGGGATCAAAGCAGGATTCCTTCTTTGTGGCATAGAGAGCAAAGATTCCTGCAACCAACCTCCGAGCCTTCCTCTCCCCCCCCCTCACCTCCGCCGCCCCCGCAGGATGACTTTCACCAACTTGTACCTGGATTTCATGAATGCGACTAAAACCATCCTTCCAGAAAAACTCGACCAGGTTGGATAGGGTCTTGGGTCCCGGCATTTCTTTCAGGCTTTTTACCCTTTGGTGGCTTGGATGCGGGCTGGGGTGGAGGAATCCCCCAGCGCCCTCTGAAGCTGCCATCATCATCTCCTCCTCTCCTTTGTCCTCTGCTGTTGCAGCTGTAGGGCTCTGCACCTCCAGGGACGGGCTGCCCGAAAGTTTGGGCAGCTGGTGAAGCATACTGACAAAAATAACACCATAAACGCAGCTCCTTTGAGGCTCAAGCACCTGCTTGCAATCCATTTTCAAGATTTTGGCGAGGAGAGACATTTTCCCGCGGGTCCCCCCCTCCCCTTGAGTCGGAGAAAACTTCTGTTACACTTCAGGGGCTGCCTTTCATTCAGACGAAGCTGCTCTGTTTGATTTCTGGTCAAGCAGCGCTTCTCCAGACTCTTACTGCCGGAGCATCAGTTTACACCGTCCATTATTAAAGACTCCCTCCCCCGGGGCTGGAAAAGGCGGGGTGGTCGGAGATGAGACTTTTAAAGAGAAGGAGCCGCCAGCATTTGGTTTCATTCAGATCAAACAAGTGCCCTCCTTAAGTATGAGATCTCCCAAGATTTGGGTTTCTGTCTTCCTTTCCACTGCCTTGGCGACACGGATTATGCTATGTCTCTATTACTTGTGCCCTGTTTGGTTTCCATGTCAGCTAATGTTAAAGATACTGCCCAAGTACCCTCCAGTGGTATTAATTAGAGTGCCTTCATGTTATGTTTAGTTTTAACTTATTGTAACATATTGTAGTTGAAACATAGACTTGCAACATAATTTTTAGCCTTAAATTATATGTCATTGCAAAGCAAATGTACACAAGTACAAAATTCTGGTTTGGTCTTGTGCATAATGTTTTAAAACCTTAATTCCATTTCTCCTAAGACTTTTAAAAAGTTAAAATGAGCAGGGGGGTCTTTAAAAATCAGTTTACAGTTTTGAGAGAGCTCTCTGAGATTCTGTTCCAGAGTTCTCTTGAGAGTTAATTTTCTTCTGGCTTGTCCAAACATAGCTCTCTTGCTGGCTCATTATACCTGTTTTCGGAAACGTTTCTACAACAGCTCATGCCACTCCTGCGCATCGCTGCTATGTAAGTTTTCAGGAAATGTAATGACATTAAATGTAAGTTTTAACAGAATAATCATGTTATTCTTCCATGAAACAAAACAGCTAATGACATTAGTACTGACATTTTTCCACTAGAAATGTTAATATCTGGAGCACTTTATTAACATATTGATGTGAGATGGAAAGCAAGAAAAAATATTTTAAATCATCAGTATATTTTAGCTAACATTACATTCACATTACAATATGGAAACTGAAAAACCTGATTAAAACATCACTTTTGAAACTGGTTATGACCTCCTCCCCCCATATTAGGATGTGCAAAACAGCTGTTGATGTTCTTATGGCAATAGCTAATTTTGCTGGGGGAGCATTTTAAAGCAATATATATAATTTACCATGACACAATCTGGTATCCAGGTGTACAGGATACTATCCCACATTAATCCTGAAATATTGTGTATTGGTGATAATATGATTATTAGCTGGCCGGATACCTCAGTGAGCTAAGCATCTGGCTATGGAGTCAGAGGTTGGGAGTTCAATTCCCCACTGTGCCTCCAGGAAAAAGAGGCAGCTTATGTGGCCTTGGGCAAGCTGCACAGTCCCAGAAGAAGGGGATGAGAAACCACTTCTCAGTACTTTCTAACTAGAAAACTCTGAAAACAATTCACCATAAGTCAGGATTGATTGACAGCACATAATATCAGGATTATATGTGATAAGGAATTGGAGATCTTCCGAAAAGCAGACTTGTTTATCTTCTGTCTTTCAAAGTTTTGGTAGTGTGGCATTGTACATTAGTCATGATGAGATATAAATTAGCACAACTATGGCTCGTAAATAGATTAAGTTGCTTGGTTCTTCCTTATTTGCTAGAAATCTAAACCTTTAAGGAAACTGATTATTTCATGTATCTTGCCGAGGTCCATCTAAATCAGCATTCTGGAAGCTCAACAGCAAGGCATAGCATGATGTTTTACAGAAATTCCTTCAGGGCTGTAGTGGCGTTTCCATGTTAGGCTTCAAAGAGCATTAGGCTGAATCCAGAGATTCCATGAGTAGAACATTACTTAGAGAGTGCTCCTTTAGAGGAGAGAGGATGTGTGCCTTTCTCTTTTTTTACTGTGGTCCCTGAATAGCAGCTGCAAAGATTTGGGGATCTGTAATAGAGTGCAGAAAAGATCAGCAAATATTGCTCCTCAGTTTCTTCCAGTGGAAGCCACTGCTGTGTGTCAAACTCTTCTGCAAATAGAAGGCACTCTTTGTGCAAAGACACTCTAGATCCTTGCTAAAGAATTCAATGTATAGAGAATATTGCTGATCATATTACCACAGGAAGAATGAAATACAGGTATACAGTTGTATTAGAAGGCAACTATGTTGGCAGATAATACAGGAAATTCTCTGGAATTGGCACAATCAGATTTGTATTGTTTTCTGTTGAATACATGACATAAAAGCAATGTTTCCTCTAGGCTGTGTAGCCTCGTGGCTACACAGTGCTGCACTGGTGCTGCACAACTGACCCAGTGTTTCTGCCCTTTTTCTTTTGATCACGGCTGGAACCCTGTGCATGTGGGGCAGGGACCCCGTCCAACACTAGCAGAAAATTAGCCGGAACGTTGCATACAAGTCAATACAAATTAGTCCAAAGTTCTTCCTCATACTTTTCCCTCTGCCATTAAAGCTCCCATTCTTTTAATTTTTAGTTTTAACTTGGATTTTTGCAATCAAATGCATTCACACAGGTTGAAGCGGTGTGATCACTTGAGCTAATGTAGAAAAGAGTATGCAGGGATGCTGGTGAGGTGGAGAGAGAAAAAGCAAAGGTGCAGTCAAGCAGCCCTTGCTTCCAAACAGTTTTTTTAAATAAAGAGTCTTAGTGCCAGCTTTGGGTTGTAACCACAAACAGATAATTGTCCATTCATTTACACCTTCTTATATATCCTCCCAGAATTTTATCATCATCATCATTATTTAGAATTGCACAGCTGGATGGAACCATCAAAGATGATCCACCAATATCATCGGTCCCTTCCAGCTGTGCAGTTCTATGGATCACCAAGTCCAGCCCCTTTCAAGGTAGCATAGTGAGAAACTGAACTCCTAGTCTCTGGCTCTACAGCCAGATATCTAATCCACTGCACTACAGAGTTCTTGAACTGGGGTAACTTGAAAACTTATACAGCAAACTCACTTCTTAATGGAACAGGTGTAAGATTAGCTGGATATCCTGCTCTATAGTATTTCTCAACACATGAAACTACTGTAGGCGAATTGAGGATTTCTGTAAGTGCGTATCTTCCCACAGTGTTTCATAGCAACCTATTTCTTAATGGCTTTTAATCCTTATGAACAATAGGGATTATCTCAGAAAAATCATAATTATACAGTAACCTCTGTTTTCCTTCAGAATTAATATCTCAACATTTCCAAATAGTACACTGTTGGTACATGTTTGCTCATTTGACAGGGGAAAGTTCTGATATATTTCAATAGAGCATAGTAGGTCCTTGCCATACAGCTTTATCGTTTGTTAAGATAATTAAAACATTTGAACTAATTTTTCCAGAAATCTGAAAATGGCTAGGTGAGTGCTATGTACATAAACTGGCCTTGAGAACAGCCAGAGATCTGTTCTTTAAGGTTCATTGAACAGGTCTCTAAAGCTGTAGTCTTAATAAACTCAGCTATTAATCATGAATTCCTATAGCCATCACTGAACATGTGGATTCCCCAAAGACTACAAATATGAAAAGCACAAATAAAATGAAGTGGGCCCTGCAATAATGCATAACAGCTTGCAGCATGAGAAATTATTTGCTCTGGCCACTTATTCCCTTTCCCCAGCCTCACACTGTGATAATATGTGAGCTTAAATGGGGAAATCACATTTAAGAAAATAGCACATTTCCTGAGATCTGCAATACAGAGTTGTCAACCTCTACGTACAGAAGAAAGAGCACTGTGGTCCCTCTAGATCAGGGAGGAGGAAAACATGGTGGCACTAGAGGGTTAAAGGTGGTTGAAAATGAGGAACTTACTTCTAGATGATGATAGTGGCAAATGTTGGGAATGAGAAACATGTAGACATCTGAAGACTTTTGATCATATGCAGATTTTAGCTTACTGCATTTGGCTAACCCTTGTTGTAGTTCCATATCCTACTAAAGAGTTCAGAATAATTCAGCTGGCATGAAATATCCACTTCTCTCCATTCGTTTTCTTGCAATACTGAACAATACACTGAAAATCAAACTGTACACTACACATTTTGTACACTATACATATTTCCAAGTTATTTTCAAGAACTTAAATTCCTGTATTTCCATGGACCAAATAGTTCCCATGATCTCATAATAAAACTGTGCACTTTTCTCCCTTAATTAAAAAGCAAGTCAAACACCAGATGTCATTCGACATGACTGCTAAGTTCATTTGACACATTCTCTCTAGGTGGTAGTTGATAAATCTGTATACAGCAGATGTAATTAAACTGCAAGTTACACAGCTGTCAGAAAAAGAGACAGAAACAAACATAAAGAATGACTGTCACTGTGAGTCAGGCTAACGCTTTCAAGTAAAACAAATGGACTACTACCTCCCCCAGCCGAGTTTGGCCAATAGCAAGAGATAGTTTTGGACATAATCAGTCTTAGGAAAATAAAAGCTTGTAATAACAATTGCTAAACTATTAAAAAAAGTCTTTTGATAACTAGCAAGTTCAAAGAGTGAGAAAACAATCACAAAGGCTGCTGTCCAGCAGTCATTACTCAAGCACAACTCCTATTGATTTCAAAGTGTTCTGCCTGAATAGCAGCGGAAGAACTGAGGCCTATAATGGGAGAAAGAAGACAACTGTTTTCCAGGATTTATCACAAATATAGAAGCATGGAAAGTTTAAGGCCTCTCAGTAATTTGATATAATTTATTAACCAGTGCAGTCATACACATTGTTGTTGTTTAATTAAGCCCTGGTAATTACCCATAAATCACAGCTGAAAGGGTTGTAGCAAATTATAATGAAACTCTCTTTCTTCAGAATAATTAAACCTTCCTAAAGGCAACATGTAGGTGACTTATGCCTATTTATGAAGAAAGATTTGGAAATATCTGCTTACTGCCAATATACCAGTTGCAGAATACACACACACACACATACATATAAACATATACACACACACACAAGGAGATTTAAATGTAAGTGGCTACATGCTAATTCCTTACATTTAAATCTCCTTAAATATTTTATATATAATGTATAAACTATACTTTACATGGAATCTACATTGGCATTGGCCACATTAGTTTTAAAAACAGACTCACATGACCCTAGCCTTGTGTTATGCCTGCTATACAATGTAGGAAAGAAATGTAAGGGCCTTGCACTAGCAAAGCTAGCAGGATTCTTGTTTATACAGCTAAGGAAACAAGGCAGTATTTGGAGTGTGTGTAGTAAAAAGGGGTGAGATTTCACACTTGTTCAAGGATCAGTCTCACTTCACATGCTTGTATGTGAAAATAATGACCTAAATTAAGCCACCACAAGATTCATTTGTGTGCCATAGATTATTACCCCTGCCCTCCACTTCTTATCCAATTTAGCAGTAGGTACAATTCCCATTTTGGCATAGGCAGAGGAGTGTGTTAGCTAAAGCAACAGATATGAGTCAGATGTATCATGATGTGCAACATGCAAGAACATCAGTGTGTTCATAGTTCATTCAGATAAAAGAGATTCGTGAAGACTGGTGATGAGACACATAGTATAAAAACACAACAAGCCAAGGAACACAAAAACAAAAAGGAGAGAGCAAATGAGAAACACTTGACTTCTCAAAGTCCTTTCAGGTACCTTACCACAGGACTTCAAGGTGACAAGATGCACAAGAAATCCCTTCTGTACTTCTGCAATGTGGGCAGCTAGGGGTTGACAACAGCCTTCTTGGAGTTAGGGCACTGGCTACTCCTGCTATTGGGTGTGCAAAATAATACATACAAACAGCCAAAGTGTGGCCCTCTGTTTGACTATGGGCCTTGGTTGGTCTCATGCCTGATGCTGACCTGTTTCTCTCTTAAGTCTCTAAGAAAGAGATGGGTGTTGGCTTCTTTTCCAACTGCATGTAATTTGTACAATGTTTCTGAAAAGAGAACGTATTTTGAAACAGGAAATAAATCTTAGCAAAATATTTTTCCTTGCACAATGAAAGTGAGGATAGTAACTTGTGAAAAAGAATAAGCAATAATGTAAATCCATTTTCAGGATGGTATTATCATACTGTATATTATCATCCACAACACATGAAACTTCAGATGTTCTTGGACAACCATCAAGAAAAAAACAAGTTAAGCTGAGATTCTGGGAGTGAAGAAATGTCTAGATGTTCACCATCTTAAAGGAAGGCACCATCACAGAAGCCATTTGCTACAGCTACAGCTCATTACTCATGCTCACCCCCCCACACCCGCTCTCTACTTGTTTGTTTGTTTTATTTCTATGCTGTCTTTCTCTCGGTGAATTGACTCAAGGTGGCTTTAGACAGGCAGCTCTTCAATTAGTCCTGTATGTATAGAATACAAATAGTATCATCTGCTTAGCTACTGTTCCTAAACAATATTTGTAATATTTACAACATATTCTTTCACACAATGGTGAATGAATTTCCTCAACAATATGCAAAAAGAAACTTTGTCATAAGCTAATGGATCACATCCTCTGCATAAATGAGTACTGAAAATGCTTGATTAGAAACCTGATCAGAAAATAGGCATCATACAGGTAAGTGGCAGACTACTCATACATATTAATCAATCCCTTGCCCAAGCTTTCCATTTATATGCAACTCCTCTTTCTTTTCCCTAAAACACCTACAGCTAAGGATTAAACTTGAGCTAGGAGTATTTCAGAAGGACCCAAAAACAGTACTATCACACTTTTAAACACTGCCAAGTCCTTACAGAAAGCATCTAATATGGGGCAACAAAAGGAAAAATGGACAATGAGATGCAGGGAGAGATTTACTGAATATCATTTTATACAGTACTTTTTAAAATATTTTAACCATTACACATGGTACAAATATACAAAAATTGCATCTTTATTTTAGAATTATTTTGAAATAAATTTGCAAATTAAAATATTACCTAGGAAACAACATTTATAAATAACAATGCACATTTATTGCTTCTTCCATTATGAGTAAATTGCTTTACTCTCTCATTTATTACAATATTATACCACCCCATTCTAGGACATGAATTGGATTAATGTCTCCTTGTGAGAAAGAAAGAGATGTCTCATGCCTTTCCCTTATTTTATTTTCTAAAGCGTTTGAAAAGTGGATGAACATGTTTACTGGATGATGCCTTGCTTCGTGAGGCTTGATATTCCATGTAAACTGTATCATCTGCTCCAGACATGGAACTCATTGTGCCATAGTGTCGGGAAACCTAGAAAAGGAGAATGCATGAAATTAGTAACATCCTACCCTCTTAAACTGTAGCCCTTTTCAAACAGGGGCCCCAACTGCTCAGAGCACCTCCATTTATGCACCTGCTTCTGGGCAGATGTCAACAGAGTAGCTTCCTTTGTATATATGCAAATGCTACACATGTAATTTACGCAAAGAGCTTGTGACCGCTATGTACATGCACACATATACATTTGAATACATGCATGTGCACCAACTGTCTTCTCACTGTTAAGCTATGTACTTTAATTGCTCGGCTGCTCTTTTTTCACCAGCTATGTTGAAATACTCTTTAATCCTATCTTTAATAAAACCTCTTTCCTGACAACAGAAAGAATACTGGAAGTAGGCTGCAGTTAAAAGCTACTAGTCCCTCATAGTGTTTTGGTAATGGTAGAAAAACACATTCCAAAAAAACTGGAAGTTCTTTTGACTGCTGACATTATTATGTGAGACTTAAGAGCTCACATTCAGAGCTGCCCTTCCGCAAACAAAATGGCTCTTCCAGTTCACAGAAATGCCTTTGGTCGAGAAGGCCAAAGGAAAAGGGGGAAGGTATTTCCTATTCCCCCTGTGTCCCTAGAACTCAAGTACTACTTTGAATGGTGTTCTGAAGTGCTCCCCAATCTTCAGAAACAGATGTAGGGGATGGCTGGAGGCAGACTCTCTAGGTCTAATTCTTTAAAGCATTAAAGAAATTGCTATCAATTTTCTCTATAAAGCTCCAAGTAGCTGCACTGCAGTCATCTATATGAGATGTGGCTAAGATATAGATGATAGTTGCCACATCAGGTTGACTCAGGAAATGTCACAGTTGGCACAGTGAAGTATCTTCACAAGTATCTGCGAGTCCAGAGAGAGTGCAGGGTTTTTTCAGGAAGCACACTCACTTCCAAAAAGCACACTTTCTACTGACTAACAGGATGTCTGTTTTGTCAGTTTTTAATTTCATGCATATCTAGCACATTATTCGGTTCAGCCCATGTTCAGGAGTTCTGACTGCTTTCTTGGTAGCAAGAAACTTGACAGCTGAGGATGAGTATCATGTTGGGATGCCTCCCTTCAAAACTCCAAATAACTTTCCCTAATGACTCCATGCAGATACTGAATAATGAGGACAGATCCAAGTCTGTGGAACACATATGCCAAAGGCCATCATTTCAAATAGTCATCTCAGAACACCACAACCTGACAGATGAGCCAAAAGATACCATCACTGATGGTATCAGAAGTTTATGAAAGCTCCATGAGAAAAACCAAGACCACATCCATCCCCAGAGTAATCATCTACCAAGGCAATGAAACAGTCTCAGTCCAAAGTTCTGTCCAATAGCTTAGCTGAAACAGATCCAGTTAATCAGTTGGATCCAGTTAATTCAGAAGTATCAAATTGTAGTGAGATCATTTCTCTGTTGTATTAGTAAGAACTGTAAATTTAAGTTTACCCTACAAGTGATTATAATTCCCAAATCAGGAGCATGTTTCTTTTAAAAAGCCTCTATTTGTTTAAACAGGAGGGAAATGCCCACTTCCACCAAATAGGCACTACCTGCTTCCAGTTCCACTTTAGAAAATTTGATCAGCTACAAATGGCAGGGAGCAAATAAACAGGTGACAGGACCAGTCCACATTGCCAAGATCCAGAAGCTCAAAGAACTGAACATAAGCGATACCTATACTTACGTCAGCCTGACATGTCCAAAACAAGGTAAATCTGAAATCCTATTCAGCCATTATGTCTGAATCCATATAGGGATAGTGGGGACGCATGTAAGCTCCATTCCTGACATACCCACCCCACCAGGAAGTCAATAAAACATTCACGTGTTTAATACGAAATTATGCAAAACAGTTTCTTCATGTGATTCCTCCAGGTCATGGCAGCTCTCTGGTGAAGAAGGTCTCACGCCACTCAGACAAGCACTTCTAGTCATTTGGTGAGGATGCAGTCTAGGGCTATGCAAACTGGAACAGGCTTCTATCTATATGACTGGGGTTATTACAGGCTCTAGCACATAGCCAGTCCCAAATTTCCTCACTTTCTTTTGTGTTAAGAACCAGAAATCCAATATTGTGCTTGGAGATTACTAGCCACAAAATATGTCCACTACCCTTTCCAAAGAGCACAGAGAAGAGATTGATTCCTAACCACGATCTTGTGCCTCACACTTTGTGGCCAGTTTAGGGGTAACAGGGAAAGCAGCATGTTTGGAAAAGCAATCTGAACTCCTCTCTTTCTGACAGTAATGGTCTCAAAAATGGATAGAGGTTAGATGGGTTGGAAGAATAGATTTTCCATCTCCTTCTGCTCATCACAGGCTAATGGCAGTATAGCAAGCAAAAGAATGCCTACGGCCACAGACCAGTATATTCTTTAAGGTGCAGGATGGGTGAAGTTGGGGAAAGGATTAGGACACTCATTCTATCTTCCTTTCACAGCAAATTTGGTAAACTTCTATCTAACATAATATTCACTTGCCTGAGATGACTTTGAACTGTACTCTCCTGCTACTACTTCTTCTTCAGCATCCATATCTGAGGCTTGCAAAACTTTTTGGAGCAGCTGCTGCTGTTCTTCTTTGGTTGAAAACATAAGGTCTTCTTCCTCCATACCTGCTAGTTTAGTGATTACCTGGGAAACATCAATAAATAAAGATTTTATTTTCCTCTAAGTTCCTCTACACAGGAGTTTACTATGTCAATAAGGAATATAACGACTACAACCACTGCAGGATGTTCATTTCAGAAATAAAAGCCTAGTGTGGTATTATGTTTATAGAGTACTAGACTGGAGCTCGAATGACTCTGATTTATAACAGAATGCAAAGACTTTCTTGGACTGAAATGGTGACTAATAAAAGCATCTGAACACTAGAACACTCTGGTCAAAAAAAGAAAAAGGAAAAGAAAATATTGTAGTGCTTTAGGTACATTTGCTATCAGACCAGATTGGCACAGTCACTTTTTCTGTCTACAGAGGATTACAATCAATTTATATAGCCAAACCGTTTCCTTTATGAGGTTTTCTACAAATCAGCAAAAATGACACGTGAGTACAAAAAGAAACAAATGTTGAAGATGAAGTGCAAGTTATGTGGATATCTGAAGGTAGCAGTTAACTAATCATTCATATCTTTCCATATCAGCCATTCTTGAGACTATGGTTCCCCAGCTGCCGGCCAATCTAAAAAGCAGCCATCAACCCCACCAAAATTTCTCACACCAATACACACTGAATATTTGAAGCCTCTGATCTGAATACCATGCAACTAAACAAGCAGACTATAGGGATCACACTTAAAATAAATCTGTCTTAAAGGTGTCAGAAGGCTTTCCATTCATTTGACTCTCCTGGAGTGTTAGTTATGAAGCTAGAGTTGACATAATACATCATTAGAGACACTGCTGTCAACAAGGAAGAGAAAGACATGGGGCACCAAGATGAATAAGACTTTTGTTCTTTTTATTGTAAATATATATTGCTAAGTCCATCACAAAAGTGTTCCGAAGGAATATATGTATGTCTTGGAAGGAAAAACTCTGCATCCAACAAGCAACATATACCAGGAGCAACAGTCCGGTTGGGAAGACAAATTCATCCCCTTAATGGTAAACAGAGATTATTTGGAGGAGGCAACGGGGAGACCAGTGACTTTCCTTTCCAAACCCTGCTTGTTGGAACAATGCAAGTAAGTGCAGGAACAAGTCTGTAGCCTTCTGCTTTGTTCATCATTACACTCCTAAACGAAACAGAACTACAGCATAAACTGAAAAGGTATCAGAGATTGTGTCTTGTAGCTACTTCAAAAACATGTATATCTAATCACAAGCACAGCTGATGTGATTTCTCCCCCTGCTTCCACTTAAACAGACTTTTAATGGTTTTACAAGTAACACAGAGCAAAATACAGTAAATCAGTACAAAGGGTATGTTCTGCCATGGCTACTGTCCAGCTGATCCAATGAATATTCAAATACTGGCTAGTGTTAAAACAATACTGGTGTTGTAGTCCCAAACTTACAGGCTTTGAGGGCAGAATTACCTTAAAGCTATAGCCTTGATCTACTAGAAACCTCTGCCGTTTAGTAGAATATGCCATTTCTTGAGTATCCTGGGAGACCAGAGAATAAAAGAAGGCATTGTACTCCTCTGCAACCATTCCTGGAGGAAAGGTAATATTGAAAGATGAGATCACATAAAAACAACTCAAAACATGAGAAACAAAATCAACATTTTCTAGAGCTTTTACTATCTGTGGATTACTACAACTTGGTTAGGCATTTATCCTAAAACAGGCTACTCCCATATGATTATTTCATTTTAAAGCACCCAGAGCCATGTTTCTGCCACAATCCACTTAACTTTTCCAGTAACTGCAGAATCCAACGTCTTTGACAGGTAACACAAACCAAAATATGTATGTTTCAGAAACATGGTCCAATGCAGGACATTTTGCTGCCTGAGGCACTGCAACAACTGATATCTCTTTCTTGAAAGTCAAGGTACAAAGCAGCCGTGGCTAGGCACTTGTGGAGAAAAAGGTCACATACAGTAGTACCTTGGTTTATGAAATTAATACGTTCTCCGGAACATTACGTAATGCGAAAATTTCGTAAACCGAAACGTGGATTGCCATAGCAAGGGCAGTGGCACTACAAACCTCCAGGCATGGGGAAACTTCCTTCACAAACAGAAACCCCCCGAAAAAAAAACCCATAAACCAAGGCATTATTTTCAATGGAAATTACGTAAATCGAGGTGTACGTAAACCGAGGTGCTACTGTAGCTACCTCTACAACTTCTATAAACAATAAAAAATTATAATAAATGAAATAATAAATAATTTTGTATTGTACATGGCATACAAGATCAGATGTCTTAGTCTGCCTCTTGGGAGGACTGGGCTTGATAACTATTGGGATATACATACACTTCAAATTTAAAATCATTGTCTTTTTGATTTGCTGGAAGCATATGTCCTGCATACCCAAGGTATAATTTGAGCAGCTTGGATTATAGGAGGATATGACATACACTCAAAATGCAAACTGATATTAACATGTGGTTGGAACTCCCTTTGTAAGAGATTATCTACAGAAGCCAAAGGACATCTGCCTACTTCCGGAGCACAAGGATCAGCTGACTGGATGCTATCGTTGCCGAGGGGATGCCTGATTGTGTTCACATTCCTCACATTGTTTGAGGAGGTTCCGGAAGCAGCACTATATGACTTTTACAATGGCTACAAGCAGCCATCAATAACTGAAGGGCTCTTGTTGGGACCATAATCTCTATTAACATAAAGGTTTTGTCTACACCTAAAGACAAGCTACCGCATCAGCTCTTCCAGGCACATGGCTGTGATATACTTTGTATTCAAGAAGCTCATAGAGACAGCCACTAAGTGATACCCCAAAATACCCAGCATGAGCCTTGCAACTGAGAGATCTCACAGACAGTACAGAAGCATTGCATTAATTGAGCTTGACCTTTAAATATATTCTGCCATTACAGACATACAGTAGTAATAATAATAAAAGTGTAGCTGAGCAATTACACCGTATCCTCTGTTTATAAATTGCATAATGCAACGTTCTTCTTTAAAACCTCTGACAAGTTTTATAAGCAAAGAATGAACTTCATATTGGGAGACTTCAGTGGCTACAGTAGTGTCTGAGAATATGCACTTGATGGTCACAACAGAGAAGTGGTTCTAGCCATTATTAATAGCAAATTTCACCATCTTTCCATAGAGAAAGATGTTCATATGGTTATATCATAGACTTGATTTTAGTTAGTGAGCTTATAGCCCAAGAGTGCATGAAAGTCAGTCTGTACTTCCAGTTTTAAATATGCAGCATCAGCCTACAACTTTCCAGATCATGGTGGCAGTCCAACCATCAACAGTAGCATTCCACAGGAGATACAATTTTAAAATGTCAACTAGCAGAAGTTCAGCACAACAATGGATGGAACCATATTGAACATTTATTTGGCTCAGAGGCCCATGACGTTCTTTGAGGCAGTGAAAAGATCATACACTACCAATCATCCATATCCCAAGGATGCAGAAACAACTACTTCCAAAGCATAACACTGGAAATAGTTACCCAAATGAACAACACCTTTAAAACCTACACCATTGATCAGCCACTCCCTCAAAGCACCATAAGTTTTATTTATGCCAACAATCTTGCACCTACTACTCAACTGGGCAGCTTTCAAATGATAAAATGTCTTTCTGCAGATGCATTCGGAAAACATAGCGCATATTATGACAAAATTGATTTAAACCCAATCCTCATCACATTCAAATATGTGCCTTTCATCTGAGAAACAAGCAGGCATCTCAGAAACAGGTAAGACACTCAATGAAAGCTGAAGAATCATTACTGGATGCCTAATGCTAACCCCTATTGATAAAATCAGCTACATAGCAGGCACTGCCTGCAGCAACATATGTAGAGAGGTGCCAGATTGTGTAGTGACTCAAAAGACCTACATGAAATATACATCTACTCTTTGACTACCATCCCATTCCTCCCAGATTTAAATAAAGGAAATGTTTTTTCAGAACATCTGTGAATCCTGAACAAACAGCAGAGAATGTCAAGACTACAATGTAGTTCTTAATGTCCTTCTTAAACTGAATGGCACCTCAGGAAAATTTAGCTCCCTGTCACACACAGAGAACTGGGTTACTCAAATATCACTTAATAGGCTACACACTGTAGATGGACTAACCAAAGTGAACCTAAGAAAAGGGCTTTTACACTAACATAGTTCTTTGCAAGTATGGAGAAAAGCAGATAATGTCAACCTTACATTATCTGTAAGGTTACATCAGTGCACTCTATGGCTCTCAACATACTATGGAAGATTGCCTCTAGTTGCCTCAAATGTACTGTGGAGATTCTGACATGAACAAAAAAGAAAGAACTGTCTAGTACAGGTAGGAAAACCCAGCTATTTGGCACAGGAGCATTCATATAAGCAGCTCTTATGCTTTCTAGTAGCAATGCTATTCATTTTTGTGCCAAAAAAAGGGTATCCCAAGAATCAGCTGTCGGTCTTCATTTGAAAGGAAGACTGCTCCCACAGCTCATGTGGTTCACAAGGAAGAATTTTTGAAGTCCAAAGCAAATTTCACTAAAGTTTTTGGCAAGCTTTAGTGATGAGAAGAAATTATTTTGTCCCATACAGCTTCTCTCGTTTTATATGTTTATATACTAGATAAATTTAATATTCTCCTGACAAAAATGTTTCATGTAATGCCCACCTCTTTTTCTATAACAAATATTTTCAGTTACACAACATGTACTTCAATTTACCAAATCTGCACATTTTTCTCTATCATTACATCTCCTTCGTTCCCTCCTTTCAGAATGTGGAGGTTGTTGTGAATATAAATAAATATATTTTAGGTTAGCAGCTTTTCTCATCTTTCAGGTCACAAGGACTTAACTTTATCTCAGTGGGAGAGTGTATTGTGACAACTACTGCATTGAGGAACGAGAGAAATCCTGGTTTTTGCATATTTTGCACATAGCAAAATGGCTATTCACTGGTCAACTGAAAATCACAACTCATACCCAGATCAGCTGCCATTATTGTCAACAGATCCTTGACATGAACAGTTCAGCTTTCTAATCATGGTGCTAAAAGAAAGCACCATATTATTAACCGAAGATGCACTTTGTAATTGCTTTGATTACAACTCCCAGAATGCTCAGAAAGATTGAAGGATGGACGGACGGACGGACGGACGAAAGAAAGAAAGAAAGAAAAAAGAAAGAGAAAAAGAAAGAAATGCAATAAGGAAGCATGTTTGCCCATACCCTACATAAAGATCACAATGCTAACAAAGGGACAAATCAGAATTCAAATACTTTCAACATGGCTTTGACAGTTCAGTAAGAACAGAACCTAAAGTCTGCCAAATTGTGTTTTTAAAAGACATACAAAATACTAATACTAAGTGTCATGTGAGGAGCGATTAGGAAGAAAAGAGAATGGGAAAGATGGCCCCCTACTGCAGCATTTTTTATAACTACCCTTGAATTTTGTTTTAACCTGTGACCTTGAGCTGGCAGTGACAAACCAGGACAATGGCAAATTGTACATGCTTAGTCAGCTACAGGAGTTGACTTTACGTTACTTTCATGCTTGAATGTTCCATTAAAATTACAGGACCTCAGGGCACAGGCTTTGGTTTACCTTTCTTGGCTCTCAGTACTCGACCCAGCCTTTGAGCCTCCTGTCTTCGAGACCCACCATGGGATGAAATCTGAATCAGAACATTGGCTTCTGGCAGATCAAAGGAGGTGTCACCTACCTACAAGACAGAAGCAACAAGTATTAATAAGGCCCAGCAGCTTATAGGTCACAAAGCAAGACGTGTCATCATTACAATGAGTCAAGGAAATTTACATGCTTGCTTGAATTCCAACATTAAACATTCCAAGTCAATTCAGTGACAAGCAAAGCGTCTGTTACCTTAGAGATGAAGATAGTGTTGATTTTGGGGTTGTGTTTGAAATTCTGCAGGATCTGCATTCTCTCCCCCTGTGCTGTAGGCCCATATATATATGGTCTAAAAAAGACAACAAGAGTCATGAATTTGTGTGACTCTATCCCCTGAACTCAGATTTTCTATTATGAAGAAAATCATAGCATATAAAATCATGTTGCATGTTTATATTTAACATTTAGAGAAACACAGCCCTTTCTTTGCATGATTCTTTGATAACTCTATGATGGACCCACCCATCTGAAGACAAACACATTCTGTCAGACACCCCCTTCCAAAGAAATAAATCCTGACAGTTGTAAATGTTATTTGCTTGATGTGTGCCTCCTGACTCAACAGATCACTGGGCTGAAAATATCTACTAATCCTACATGAAAGGCTAGAAGCAGCTGTTAAAATAAAAAGAGCTGTTTTCTTTGGTTAAATCCACTGCACTAGCACATTAACAGCTGTGTTCTCCTTCTCCCATCCCATTCATATCCTTGCACACCTAACTCCCCCTTGGATTAAAATTCTTCCAGCTTCATGGTAGGAGCTACATATTCTCAAATGGAAAATGATAACTAGTATTGAAGCTAACATATTGTCCTTGTACCACTTGTAATAGAGCACCCAAATTGCTGGTATCTATGGAGTTTAACACTAACATGCAAGCAGAGAAGGGAATGAGTTAAGAGCAGCTGAACAATCCAAGATTTGTATTTATTTATTTATTTATTAGATGTCTATCCCGCCCATCTACACCAAAGGTCTACTCTTAAACTATCTTGCTTTCAAAAAGCCATATTAAGTGTGGGGCAGTTCCTGTGCTTTGTTGACGAAAGCTTCTGTGAGATACTGAGTACAAACAAACATTACAAAACACAAAGTAAAGGGAACTTTAAGTCATTTGAGATCAGAATAAAAGCATTTCAGCTCTCTCGTGGATTTGAATCTTATTTCCCAGGTCTCTTTCATTTCCATGTCTCTTATTTACTGTAAATAGTTCGGTTTAATAATCTGACACAAGTTCCATGACATCTTTTTTGTGTGCCTATAGGTTAATCGGTAGATCCTATTGTGGACTAACAGCAACAGTGATGCAGAAACATCTGAATCATTTTTTTAATGTAGTGCCTAGGTGAGAGCTGGGCAAGTGTCAGCCCTTCTAGATGTTGCTAACTATAAGTTCTTTCAGCCCCAGCTAGCATGCCTTCACATGTTGTCGCTTCAGTGCAACAAAATGTTAAAGGCCCCATGCTGACCACTTCTGAGGTAGATATTTAACTATTTTGTTTTTTTCTGCTGGTAAGGATTTATGAACTGAACACCATACCTGAATAAGAAATAAGGAACTGTTAAGTTTCAGAATTGTAACATCAATTCAAAATAGAGAAACATACACACGTAGGAAAGTATGTTATATCCTGTCAAGCTATGACTGCATTTAGATATGTCAATAAGCTAGTTTTTCACTGAATCAAGCCAGAACAAATCTCCAGCCCACGTGTTCATCCTCTATTCTCTTTCAGTGTAACAATGAGGAGACAAAGATTTTGCTGCTGCTGCTTCTTTTAGAATTAACTGTAGCACGTCATTTCACCTGAATTTGGACAATCTGTGATTAATCTTAACCACGGGTTTTTAGAACAAAGCAGTGCCAAAATGCAGTTTATGAAGCTGGCTTCTACTAACGAACCAGAATTAAGATTATCCAATTTGCATGGTATTGGGCATAATGACAAACTGCATCTGATTTAAAAAAAACAGAATTAAAAACTTCCAATCTCTTCATCACAACCACGGCACAGGATGGAATGGGAGAGCATGTCAGCCCAAGGTTTGCAGTGGTTTATTAACAAAACAAACAAAAAAGTCAGTTCAGTTGATCTAGTCTGATATTGTCTATTTTGTCAATCATTCTTTGTGTGTTTAGAAGGATTTCTTCCAAACTACTGTACCTGCTCCTTGGTATTTTTCCTTAAAGAGGCCAGATACTGTGCCTGGACCTTTAGTAGTCATTTCAGTATTGGATTAAGAGGAAACTATTGTGTTTATTCTTACATAATCTGTTTCTGGGCATGATGAACTAAAAAAAAAGGCAAAGTGTGCTGGTTATACACAGCGTATAGAGATCTCTGGGCAATTTACAACTTAATTATGCAGGTTACATATTGCCCCCTTCCTTCCATCAAGCTGGGTACTCAATTTATCAAGCTCGGAAGGCTGGAAGGCTGAGTGAACCTTGAGTCAGCTACCTGGGACTGAACCCGATTCGTAAGCAGAATTTTGACTGCAGCACAGCAGTTTAACTAGTGTGCCACGAGGCTAACAGCAGAAAATATGGCCATATATGAAGAACTTAGAATCAGTATATACTCTGAAGCTAATGTGAATAGAAAACCTGGGTTTGCCCCACAGAGGCAATAAAAAACAAACAAACAAAAAACCCCACATTACTAAGTAAAAATGAAACTGGAGTAATTTTACCTCGAACACCATGTACTGTGAATAGGTTCTCTATTTTACTATGAATGAGTATGAGCAGATTTAATAATCCCAAGTGATATATGAGGTTCCCCTACCTTTGAAGTTTATCAGTGCAAAGATACAGGTGGCCTTTGTTGAGCACCACTTACTTGCCCAGCCTAACAGCATACTCCTTCAGAGCAAACACATTGTCCGCAAATACTATGATCTTGTCATTCCTTCGTTCATGAAACTTAATCAGGAACTGGCAAGCTCTGAACTTGTTCGGGTTCATTGTATAGAGCAATATCCGTTTCTTTGTTTTAATAGCCACATATTCTCTGTAGAACTCAGGAGACATTGGGCACCAAACCTAAGATTATATACACAATAAAATGTAGTTAGATTTCAGTAATGGTATTTCTATAAATAGTCAGAGGAAAAGGGTGAAGATGATAATGTACAGGGGACAGGAAATCCCCAGAGGCTGCACAGTACCCCTCCCTGGAACCAAAAGGGCTTCATCTGCTCTTGTAATGCTAACCCTGAGATTTCCATTACTGCACCCCAGATGGCACAAATGGTCTTTAAGCCTCTCTTCTTCTTCTTTTTTTTTAAGTTTGGGATGTGGACATGCTGGATGGTATAGGGTACTGCCTTTGGGATCCCGGGGGTCTGTATGCAGACCATGGTTTTCATATTGCCTACCACAATTTACAGGATAATAACTGCAGCATGTTGGCTGGCAAAAAGAAGCAAAGCAGATTTTAATTCCAACAGCTGTGCCAATTCAAAAATACTGCTTCAGAAAAAAGGAGGGAAAATTATATTCATTATGGTTGTTGTGGGTTTTTCGGGCTCTTTAGCCATGTTCTGAAAGTTGTTCTTCCTAACGTTTCGCCAGTCTCTGTGGCCGGCATCTTCAGAGGACAGATATTCATTACGCTTCCCGGACAACCCAGAATACAATTGATTACATCCAAAGCAGCACAAAGCCGAAGGCAATCCATTTCCTCCTCCACAATCTAACGCCACCATCCCAACTTTCCTACAAATTAGGACTCCCAAGAAAGCCGGAAGGGAAGGTGTGGGTTAGATTAAGCTGGGCAGGGACAACTTACGTGAGTGGGAGGCCCCCCCTACTATGAACTCTGTATCCTACATCATATGCAGACATAAATTCCCTTTACCAGCTACTTGGAAGCACAGGATTAGCAAATCACTCCTCATCCTTTATCACTGCTTCATTTTAATGTGTAAAGCAACCATCAACTTTTGAAGACAATTTCCTAATGAGAAACATCTCACCCTTTCTGTACAATCCCATAGGCTGCTTTTTAAGCACTGTTACAGAAGTATACCTTTTGATTTTCAAGGACTACCAAGCAATGTTCCCTCTAAGATTCACCCATGCACACAAAGCTCCATCAGGGCTACTCGCAGGCAACACTGGCAGCCAGTTTGTTTACTTCTTGTTTTGGATGAAGCCATGCCCCTCCGCGTGCACAAGGGGCGAGGCTCCCGCGCAGTGGGAATGAAAATCAGAGTGAGCACTGCTACCAATTATAGCAGATTCCTAGTAGTTGCCTCTTTCAGAAGTTCCTTAGGCTAGACATTGGAGTAACTATTTAACCTTGTGCAAAAGGTCCTCAGCTAAGCTTTTTGGCACAGCAGCCATCTAATATACCTGCAAAAGGGTTCATTCACTAGGGACAGACGTGTTGGCGTGCACTTCTCCAGCACACAGTCTGTGCTGTAAATGGCAAGTAATGGTACTTCTCTAAATACAGTCTGTGCTGTAAATGGTATCCTTGTCTCTAGGGCACAGGAAGTCCCCCCACATTGTTTTCAAGCTGTGTGGCCCACAGTAAGTGGGAACTGCAGGCTAAAAAGCCTGGGTAGCCAAATAGTCCCCTCATGGCTCTAAATTTGATGGCAAATTACCTCTACTGCTGACCATCTCAATCTGAATGCAAACATGCTTAGCTTCCCAAACAGCCAGCCCTCAATTGTATATCAGAGCATACCATTTTGTTCTGTGAAATCTTAATTATAAAAAAAGTTTTCAGAGAGTTAGCCATGTTATTCTGCTTCAGCGTGTATAACAAAATCAAGACAAAAGAGCTGTGGGACCTTAAATATTAACAGATTTATTTCAGTGAGTTTTCATGGATTATAGTCCACTTTCTGAGACGCAATTATTTTTATTATACATGGTAAAAAAAAAGTTGATGCCGGGAGGTTACTCACACATGCTGTAGCGTCTCTACTGAACTCCCTGCTAAGGCTGATTCATGCTCAGAGGAGGTCACCTCCTGCCTGAGCCAAAGAACTGGGCTCACTGCCCAGGACAGTTATGGAGCAACAAAGGATTTTTCCCCCTTGTTCAAGACACTGGGTAACTTTTATTTCGGGAATGGAGGAACCCTTGAGCCTCCAGTTTTGGCCCTGATGTTTTCAACTTCAACTCTCAAAAGCCTCAGCCACTAAGGGTAATAGTAACTACAGTCCAAAACATCTGGAAGTTGAAATGTACCCAGTTCCTGTTTCACTGTCTTGAGCTCTGTAAATTCACATTTCTGTGAAACTGGAACATCTATCTTCCCCTGTAATTCAGAAGAAAAACTGCTTCTGGTTTTTAGTATTATGATGAAATTCACATTTCTGTGAAACTGGAACATCTGTAATTCAGAAGAAAAACTGCTTCTGCTTTTTAGTATTATGATGCTAATAAACATGGAAAACACTGGCCAGAATTCTATTGAATATTTACGTGTCCAAAATGGCAATGAGAGAAGTTGCCCTGGCTAATTGATGAGACACAGGTCACATGTAGTATCAGTCATGTGTCTCCTAACACATCCAACACGCATCTGGCACTCTGTGGATTAGTTGTGCCAGTTTCTGAAATGGCTCTTAGACACATGCAAACATCCAACAAAATTCTGGATATCTTGTCCTAAGATGTCACTTCTTGCACTTTTTACAATTATTTCCTGGTCAAATTCCTTAAAGTCTCAAGAGATTAGGGTCTAGACCTAAAACTTGCCAAACACTATTCGCATCCCTATCTTCATATCGGAGACTGTAAAAATCCTGTTATCAATCTCATCAGTGTTAAATGGAGGAGACTTTGTCTTAGGCCTTTGCTTCATTATGCAACAGGCACTGCCCCCTGCAGTTGCTCAGAAGAATTGTGTATTTAGGGGCACAGTTAACCCAAAAAGGCTATTTCCTCAGACATTTAACTTCCTATGTTCTGTATATGAAAGGCTTTAGCCATTTGAAAAATCTGCATGTGTAGCGTCACATGCAAAAGGTAGGAAGCCAACAGATTTAACCCTGGGAAATTCTGTTATTAGTGCTACACAGAAAGTCTTGTTTCCTGTTTTTGATTTTTTTGGTGGTGGAAAGTAGCAGTACCAACATTCTCTCTAAGCCATGTGGGCAAGCAGCACTGCATCAGGCACATACAGCCGACACGGTGTTTCTGCCCATTTGCTTCCAGTTGCGGCTGGAACTGTGCACACAGGGTGGAGCTCCCATGCAGCCCTCCAGAAAATTAGAGGAAACACTGATCAGTATCCAAAGAAACATCACAATCACTTGGAATGTACCAAAGGACAGGAATTTCAGAAGTTTAAACAGAAAAGAGATGGTTCTAGAGAAAAAGAAACTTTATAGACAGTATGAATGTTTAAGCATATATTCTCCAGCCTAGGAATAGCAATGGCAAAAAAGAAATAAGGCATAGGTTACCTCAGCACACTGGACTTTCGCAATGTAACCACTGTTTTGCAGCTCCATCCAATTGGCTTCATATAGCTTAGGACCAATGAGGAAATTCAAGTCTACAATTTTGTCATCTTCTCTTACAAGGGTGGCTGTCAATCCAAGCTTGCAATGGGCTTGAACAATGGTGAGTACACGCCTGAACATTTTTGCTAAAGAATACAGGAATGAATCTTGATTTGATTTCCAGTAAGGATATTTTGGAACAATATCCAAGTACTGTACTGTATTTATTTTACAATCTAAATGACATTAAATGAACAAAAGAAAAGTTATCTCATTTTCAAGAGCCACAATGGACTGTAATCCTATATTAGAAAAGCTCAGCTTGGCCTCACTTATTTTAATTCTCTACAAGCATTAATCCAGCTTCTATCTTTTGGTATATGGGATATGGTAGCAGTATTCTTATGTTTGGAAACTAACAATAATTTACAAGCTAAAAATCAAACTTGCCAGGACACAGGCTTGAGAGTAACATCCCTGCTCCATTTGAACAGGAGTTACTTGTTCTAAAAATATTAGTTGATTTAAAAAGGGAAAAAAACTACAGTACACAATCAAAGCATTTTTGAAAAAGAAAAGGACAAAAAAAGTCAGCATGGAATCAAAATGTCACATTTTTTTTCCAAAATGATGCCCTCCAGATATTATGAATTACACCAACTATCAGCCTGTGCCAGCATTGCCATCAATCAGGGATGACAAAATATTTAGTGTGTTCCAGGCTGGGGATTGAAACAGAAGAGTATTCTATAGGAATAAGAGAAAAGGGGTTCTGTTTCACAGTTTTAGTTAGAAGATTTGATATTTGCTCAAACTCCCAACCATTTAAAAGATGAAATGTCAATGATAAATTATACTGGGATAAGTCATAACATTCTTCAGGCAATTTGATTCCACACACAAATCCAAACACTAAATATTATACCATACTGGCTGTTTGTTCCTTTTCCATTTAACACTAATGGAATTAATGAAATTGAAACAATCATGATTAAACAATAAATACAATAAACAACATACATCTCTAAGTGCTTTGAGAAATCTTGGAAAGCAACTTTGCCGAACAAATAAGCAACACTGGAATATTTCACACCAGCTATGACTTCTTTGCAAACATGTACTATTTTTAAAGCATTTTTGCCACTGCATTACAGACCAGGTCTCTATTTCAGGACAGAATGACCAGGAATGCTGAATTTAAGATTCAAAGGAAGGAGGCAAAGGAACAGTAATTCACAGACATGGGATATTCTTCTTACCAGGTATGGTGTGCACTTCATCAAGGATCATAAGGCCCCATTCTTGGCTCTTCAGCCATTCCATTACTTTCTCTGCCTCCCAGGACCTCTTTGTTGTATGTCCCAGCATGGAGTAGGTGCTGATAGCAATAGAGCAACCAATTGGCTTGTCCTTGGCATCAGAAGTAAACCGGCAGATCTGGCTGTCATCGATGGTGGACCACATTTTGAATTGGGCTTTCCACTGCTCCACAGAGACAGCAGAATTGCCCAGCACAAGGCATCGCTTGCGAACTGTACAAGCAGCTGTTACTCCTACAAGCGATTTGCCAGCACCTGCAGTAAACAGAAACATCAAGAAACCACATGCACAAAACTCATCACTATTCACAGGATGTTGGCAGCGGAAAGGCACAAAACTCAGACAGATGCACCGCACTGAGTACTTCACTAACATTTTACTAAAAATACCAAAACCCAATTATAGGGGGCAAATGTTGTTTTTTTTAAAAAAGAGTCGTGATAAGTATCCTATTCAACATAAACATATGGAAAAGCTTAGCAAGTTCATGTGGCCAGCACATGCTGTACAGGGAAATGATTCAGTTCTGCTAAACCTAAACAGGTATTAGTTGTGCAAGACAGATGAGCAACCACCTGGAAAGCACATATAAAGATGTGCTGTGTTCCTAGGATGAAAAGTAGTACATGAATGCAAAAAGCATAATATATACAGTGGTGCCTCGCATAGCGACAATAATCTGTGCAGCAAAAATCACTGCAAAGCGATTTCGTCGCTATGTGATATTAAAAAGCCCATAGGAATGCATTGAAACCCCTTCAATGCGTTCCTATGGGCTTCAGACTCACGTTAAAGTGAAAATCCTCCATACGGCGGCCATTTCCGCTGCCTGGCAAGTGAGGAATTCATCTCAGAAAACAGCGGGGGGGGGCATTTTTTTTACCCGGCGGCCATTTTGGAACAACCGATCAGCTGTTAAAAAATCGTCGCTTTGCGATAATCGGTAAGCGAAACAGGGTACCGATCATCGCAAAGCGATTTTTCCCCATAGGGAACATCGCAAAGCGATCGCAAAAGCGATCGCAAACAGTTAATCGCTATGCCATTTCATCATTAAACGGGGTGCCTGTTAAGCGAGGCACCACTGTATATGATTGTATTCCAGCCAAACAAGCACTGTTACAAAATGCTGAGTACTTTTAGAGAAATCTAGAAGTTTAAACTATAAGCTTAAGTCAGAGAATTTTTGAGAATTTTGAAACATTGACCAAGGGAACTCACCACAGGGCAGGACGATAACACCAGATCTAGCACGGCCATTTCCAAACATTTTTCTTAAACTCTTCTCCTGGTATGGACGGAGAACAGCTGTAGGTTTCAAGTCTATATTAATATCAGGATTCACTGAATCATTTCTAAAATCATATTCAGCAAGCAGAGGGTACTCTAGATGAATACAACGTTTCTGAAGCTCTTCAATCATTTCCTAGAAAAATGGCAGGAAGAGGATGGGTGAGCAGATGAAAGGCTACTTTAAGGAGTTAATACTTATTTGCTTCAGGTATGCGAGATGTTCTAAGAATGGTTTGCCATTGCCATCTTTCAGTCAGTGTCCATGGCTGAGTGGAGATTCGGACAGTGTCTCCTGAGTCCTAGTCTGACATTACATCTACTACACTACGCTGGCTCTCAAGTCTTATTATCCCTAGTCTGACATTACATCTACTACACTACAGTGGCTCTCAAGTCTTATTATCCTTCATATACATCCTTCAGTCTTGAGAGACTATGATAACGTGCTCTGTATGGAGCACTTGGAACAGTGTCTAGTGTTTTGATGCTGTACGCAAAGCTGAAGTGTCCTCTCCAGGGCACAAAGCCTGGGTAAAATAATATGGAGGATAGACTGTTATCCAAGCAGCAAATCCCCTCTCTCCACATCGCTGAAATAGTCCAATGGAAAGGCAAGAACCAATACAACTGGTTTCAGTGATGTAGCAGGAGTTGACAAAACATAATAAAGTGCCTTTGGGACTCCGGCTCCGGATTTTGCCTCGAGGTTAACTCCTGAAGCCTTTTCCGTAAGTGGATATAGCCACCAAGGCAGTGGAGGTTTGAAATCGGAGTTTTCCTTCTCCTAGATGGGATGCCTTCCAGGCCTTGGACCCAATAGTCCAAAGACTTTTAAAAACGATGGTTCCAAAGCAAAGACAAGTGCTTTCTGTATACTTTTGTCCTTGTTTCCAATTTGCTACCAGTAAGGAAAACAAAGTAGGCCTTCCATGTTTGGCCTGTCGGGTAACAATACCTTGACCAAACTTTGTCATCCCACTTTGTGATGCAGTTCATCACCTTTATAAATATCTGGTCCAGCAGAGACTTTTTTTACCCCTCTCTGAGGTAGAGCCAGGTTGTCCTCAAGAGACAATAATCTGGAAACCAGCAGAGGCTCGTTGTCAGCATAACCAAAAAAGAGAGAGGAAAAGACCCCAGAAGACGTTTCCTCGAGCAAAAGATCCAGGGCGGGGAAGTTCATTCTAACTTGCTGCTTAGGTTGCATTTGTGTCTCTCCACCGAAATCACCAGCAGGGCTGGCAATTGATGACAACTCCAAAAAGGGAAAAGAGTCAGAGGCATAACACCATTACCAGGTAAAGTATTCTATCAGTTTGGGGACTGAAATAGGTGGCAGGGAAGGCCAGGGAGTCCTCTGGAAGTGGAGGCAGCTTTCCAGGGGGGGGGGTTAGACCCGGCCTACCAGAGAAGACCCAAGACCTTCTGTCAGATAAAACAACTGTGGTCAGGAAACCAAGGGTTTTATACTTCATTTGTTGCAGCTGTGCTTAACAGGATGCTTGTGGGTCACAGAACGGAAGCAGAAATACATAACAGCAGCATGCCACAAATCTGAAATCCTGTTGTTTAGCATAGTAAATTGCAACTGGAGTAGGATAATTGAATCAGTTAATATTTGGTGTGTTAATTCCATAAGTTCCATTGCTTTAATGGGCCTACTGTAGTTACAGTTGACTACACTAAGTAACAAGATTTCAGCCATGTTGCAAGCCAGACCTGCAAGTATCTAGTTTGCACCTCAATATCTGGCAGAGCACCTCCTTTCAGTTAGGTCTGTCCATCCTATAAGATTGTCGCAGGCAGGGAGGCTGAGAGTTTTGACCCCGAGAGAGGCCTGGAAAATAAATACTAGAAATTGGGCCTGCTCGGCGGTAGCCCCACAACTATGGAACTCTCTTCCGCCCAAAGTCTGCCTGGCCCCTTCAGTGAGCACATTAAAAAAGCTATTAAAAACCTGACTATTTAAACAGGCCTGAACAAATAACACCCTGATACAATAGTGCCAAATAACATAACATCCATCATACTATCATGCTCCATGTTTTTATATCTTTTACACTTTTAATGGTATTTATTGTATTGTAATTTTATCCTCACTGCACTTTATTCCTTTTGATTTGTGCCCCTAATGTATTGATGATATTATTTGTTATTTTGCTACTTTGTTGTTTTGTGTTACTTGTTGTAAACCACCCAGAGTGGCTTTGGCTGCCAGATGGGCAGTATATAAATCAAATAAATAAATAAAAATAAATACAATTATACAATATTTTCTATCAACATAGACTGGATTAGTATGTTTAATACAGTCATTAATGGAATGATACAAATGAGAGGAAAGGAGGAAGGTAAATGCTGCTTTTGCAAGTCCCTTTTGCAAGCAGGTACTTCATTCTGCCTGTAGTGCTGCTGAAAAATCTGAACATATACATGCTCCCATCAGTAGAAGCTTCATAGGCATCCTTCAGTCTCGAGAGATTATGGTAACGTGCTCTGTATGGAGGACTTGGAACAGTGTCTAGTGTTTTGATGCTGTACATTAAGCTGGAGTGCCTCTCCAGGGCACAAAGCCTAGGTAGAATAATATGGAGGATAGGCTGTTACCCAAGCAGCAAATCCTCCCTTTCCACGTCACTGAAATAGTCCAATGGAAAGGCAAGAGCCAATACATCTGGTTTCAGCGATTTCACAGGAGTTGACAGAATGACATGAACTGCCTCCGGGATTTCGGCTCCGGATTTATTAATATTCTTCATCCTATGAAGTGAAGATGCATTACAACATTTTCTTGCAAGTCCCTGTGGTATGCAGAAGCTGAAAGCACTTGTTTAAAAATTTCCAAAGGGCACCTGTCACACCCTCACGCACAAACATTCTAAAGGGGAATGAACCTCCAAGTGTGGTCAAATGTTGGATATCTACTGGAAAATAATATTGGCGGGGGAAAAGAAAACCAGTTGACCTGTATGAGTCCTTAATACAGGACTGGTGGATGTGGTGCCATCCAGACTTTATACTTGAAGCAAAAAACCAAGAACATTTAGAAGACAGCTATCAAAACCTCTCCAGAAGGATGGCTATGACATGGCAATCTCAAAAGGGTTTTGATGCTCTTAATACTATTTATTAGCCTCAACGTAAGCTCACAGAAAGTTATGGAAGTACTTATTCACGTGTGAATACTTTAGTTATATTCTACCAGCTCATGGTTGCAAGAATAAATGCTTCTTGGGCAAGGATCACCTCTGCTATGCGAACATTGCAGTTACTGACTTTCTGTGAGAGCACTTCAGGAAGGGAAAGTGTAGTTGCTCTTTCTATAACATCAACAGAATAAACTGAGCTGGGATCAGGACAGTATTCCTCTTTGTAATGGCGTTTGTATGGTCCCTTCGTCGTATTAACTTTCTCTCCCACTAAGAACAATGTGCACAACAGGGAGCATTACAGACATCTTCCTTACACTAAAGTTATTGCTTGCATTAACATGGTTTTTGTCACCCTTTTTGTCTAGTAAAGTTGGGTTCCTACAAAAACCCAAACCGAAATATAAATCAATTGATAAACAATTTTGATTAATTTTAAAATATGCTATAGTTGCACAGAGCAGCTAAATGTCAGATTTGAATTTCACATATCAGTTCAGCTTTCCAAGGGAAGACAGAGTTCATAAACACAATGGGAGCCCCAGGAAAAGGATACAGGGCTAACAACTGGTTGGGCTATGTCCTACAGTAACTTTAGCTATTTAACTCTGAATTAACTCATATTCAATATGTGATGACTTGGATACTCAAGAAGGAAGCCATTAACTTAATACATTTTACCTGTTTCACTTCAAAAGATACTGTCTGTGTTTCCTCCTCTTCTTCTTCATCTTTATCCATTTGTTCATAAAAATCAAATAAGTCAGCAGGGACATCTGGCTTACTTTGAGCATCTGTTCCTTGTGAAGTTGAAGGACCACAGCCACCTTCGGTGGACTTGGAAATCTAGAACAGAATTCAAAACTCGAGAAGGAAGCCATTAAATTAATACATTTTACCTGTTTCACTTCAAAAGGCACAGTCTGTGTTTCCTCTTCTTCATCATCTGTATCCATTTGTTCATAAAAATCAAATATGTCAGCAGGGACATCTGGCTTACTTTGAGGATCTGTTCCTTGTGAAGCTGAAGGACCACAGCCACCTTCGGTAGACTTGAAAATCTAGAACAGAATTCAACAGAGTAGAGAAGGATGCCAGCCAAAAAGGGATTGAGCTGTTGCCAATCTGCGAATCCCAGAGGGGTCAAAATTATGTAAGAGTCAATTGAACAGAGTATATGCACTCATTTCACACGCTAGCAAGGTTATGCTCAGCAGGCATCAGTAGTATGTGGACCGAGAACTCCAAGAAGTACAAGCTGGGTTCCAAAGAGGCAGAAGAACTAGAGACCAAATTGCTAACATACGCTGGACTATGGAGAAAGCCAGAGAGTTCCAGAAAAACATCTACTTCTGCTTCATTGACTACGCAAAAACTTTGACTGTGTGGACCACAGCAAACCATAGCAAGTCCTTAAAGAAATGGGAGTGCCTGACCATCTTATATATCTTCTGAGAAATCTATACATGGGACAGGAAGCAACAGTAGAACTGGATATGGAACAACTGATTGGTTCAAAATTGGGAAAGGAGTACGACAAGGCT